ACTACTTACGTTAGTTAGTTAGGTGGTTGGGTTGGTTTGGGGTAGTTACGTACCTACCTACTTACTTACTACTATGTATGTGTGTGTGTGTGTGTAGTATATATATATATATATATAGTATATATAGTGTAGTGTGTAGTATATATATATATATATATATATATATATATACACATGTATGTGTGTATATATGCATGTGTATATATATGCGTGTATGTATGTGTGTGTGTATATATATATATATGTATATCTGCATACACGTGTCTTATATATGTATGTGTGTGTGTATATATATATTTATATATATGGGTGGGTGTATAAATGTATACTGCCCCTCTGTCCATAGTTTCTCTTCACAGGTACTTCACTTGGGGAATGCAGTGTGTACCTTCAAGGTCAGGAATCTAGGGTATTTGAATTGAGGACGAATCTTCATTCTGCATCAATAACTTAGAACTTCTTGCTGTCCAACAGTCAGTAGTGCAAAGTGTAAATTTTTTGCAGGGGAATATCCTCATGAGATGTTTCATCAATACCAGTGGTCTCTTAAATTTGTTTATTTCTCTATGGGGCCTATTCCAATCGTGTCAGTCTTCTGGCCTGCCATTTTCCTGGGGTGATGGATTTCATAGCAGATTGTCAGTCTCAGTCCACTTTCTCCTGAATGAATGGATTGCTAATTGGGGGCCTCCTCTGTTAGCTTTTGCTACTCAGCTACAAGCTTTTGAGTCTCCACTACATCATCTTCAGACATCTATGGCTTTCCATCTGTTACTCAGACTTCTGGCTATATTTTGATCCTCTACATGCAAGATGTTGCTAGCCTAGATTGGCTAGTCTCGCCATGATTTCCTCTTCTACAGTTTCTTCATGTGAATCCACCTCTGCACCCACATCTTTATAAAAGCATCCTCAATTCAACATTCTATACCAAGATTCTTCCCAGTTCATTGGGATTTAACATCTACAGTTGCCTGGGGTGTGCCACACAAAGCGTTTGTACCCACTTTACCAAACTTGTTCACCATATCTTGTTTTGACCTGTTTTTTACTTGGGTTTCACTTCGTCTCCTTTTGGTTAGGTCAAACAACTTTTCATCTCCTTTTAGTTATCCTAAATATCTGATGGTTTTAGATTCCCCAATGCTATCCAGTCTTCTTCCCAAATGGCCTTTTCAATTACTTCATCGAAATATTAAGGTGGTACTACATGCCTTGTCTCATCAACCTTTCGAGTCTAGACTCATGTACCATGTATCATCTCTCCCTTCATGCTGGAGTTGTTGACATGTTTGTAGGACTCTTTACCTCTCCCTTTAGGTCCTTTCTTTCTAAGTCTCTGGCCACCAGGGAAGAGGATACATCCCTCTTTACAATTCTTTTGACACCTGTCTCTTACCCCTACAATCAACCATACGCTGATCATTTGTTTTGTTCTGTCAGGCCCAGAGGTGTTATGTGGCTCACTCTAACTCTTTTCGTGGTGTTAGATCTCATCTCTATATTTTTTAGGGTACTTCAGTTTCCAAAGGTTTATTCCCACTTCCTTGGAGGTGATTTTGCAAATATCCAAGTTGCATATTATGGATTTTACAAATAAGGAATCTTCTGAAAGTTACATCTCATCAGCTTCAGCACGTTTATGTCTTTCACTGCTCATTTCTTTGATTCACTGGGGGACATTTTATGGGCCCTTACATCTTGCTTTTACCGGATCCTACTCTGTGGCGAGTGTTGCCCAGACAGGTGTGCTTTTATTAATCCAATTCCACACTAGCAACCCATCTGACTATACTTAATTCTGGTTGCAACAAGCTCTGTAGAAATGACGTGTTCCATATGACCATCTAGGCACATTACCAGATGGTATTACCATATTATCATGGACTGCTACTCATGGACTATCATGAGTAAAGCTAAAGAGGATTCTCCCTGTCCCTGCTGATCATTGGATTGAATAAATTGGGGTTAGTTTACTTTTAAATATTTAGGGAACTTGGTTCACTTATTGCACTGTTTCCAGAGAACAGTTCCTCAGGACTCCCCAGTGCACTTTACTTTACCCCCCCCCCCCCCCCACCTAGTGGAGCTAAGGAGTCCATACCACACCCAGTTTCCAGTCCCTGGGGTAGTAGACAGAGGTTTTTCCTCCACAGTGTTCAAGTATGCTCCTTCACTTTTGAAGAAGGGGGCGAAGCTGGGGCCCTCCTACCTTGGTCCCTGGATGTATTTCCTAGATGTTGGTAGGAGCAGCGCTGGCCTATGTGGGAGCCTACTCCTAATACCAGTTCAGATTTGATCCTATGCTATCCAGTTGGGGTGTGCTTATGAACAATGTTGGGTTGTATATTGTTCATTAATGAAGGTACACTATCTCCTCATAATTCCGAATGCAAAGTGGTCCCATCCTAGGTCCTTGGTTGAACACAGTGTTCCATGTCCTCTCCATAATGGTGGGGGCAAGTGAAATGCTCCTTGTCCACTCAGTTGGAGAGTGAGGATGAATGTTCATAATTCCAGACTGGATGAGTTCTCTTCCTGTGATTGAGTAAGGCATATATGATCCTGTCATTCCAAGCCTGGGGTGGTGCTTTTCAGTCTTCTTCAGGTGGAAGAGAAAGTTTGTCCACTACAGTGTTGCTTATTTTCTCATTGTAATTCTGGTGGTTCGGAACGCATCACTCTATGGCTACAGGTTGGGATAAGATCAAAAGTATATCTATATATCACTTTGCAGTCTAATTGCCCTAGCTACCAACGTGGGATATAAGGACCATGACCCCTTAATTCCAACCCCAAGTTGTGGATCCTCGGTTATCTGGTTGGGGCTGACCTATAATAATTACTCATGTACTATTCCACCCTTGATACCAATATTAAGTTCTGGGTGAAGAGCATACCTGTTCTGAGTGTAGTGTGGTTTCCACACTTGGTTACCATTCTTATCTTAGTACACCCTTATTCTACATAGACACTTTCTATATGGACAATGCCCTCACCAGCCCCTCCTCCTTCTCAGTGTGGGATTATAACTAAAGTGTCATCAGAGGGTAAGTATGTTTTGGAAGTTAACATTTTCCTAAATTTAAAATGTATTTCCAATAATACTTACCTCCACTGACACTCTCCCACCCTTCCTCCCCACTAAGAGCTGGTGTTAGTGACTGGGATGGTGTAAGTCTCGAAAAAGTGATTACATTATCTGAGTGAGGTGCTTATATACAGTGTCAGGATAGAGGGCGCATTGATGCAGGTGGTGGAATTTGCAAATTATATATTGCTAAGGGTATTTAGGTGAGATATAAAAGACTAGAGCATGTGAGCCCAATGTTTAGATAGGCAAAGCCAATGTTGAGGAACAGCTAAAGTGTCAACAGAGGTAAGTATTATTGGAAATACATTTTCAATTTAGGAAAATATTAATTTCCATGTATCATGTAAAACAAAAGTGATATTTATAGTTATTTCTGTGGTATTTGTTGTTTGGAAGAATAACAGCAAAGACGTAAACTACCAAAGCATTAGAAAAGATTTGAACATTTGATTGCATGGAATATCAACCTAAGGACAAGTGCAAAAGTGAAGAAACAATCAAATTTGACAAATACAACTAAGTGCTGGATATTATTTTACTTTCAACAGTTTTCAGGTTGTTAATGGTGAAAGTAATGTAAATTAAAACTAAAATTAACTTGTAATTAAAACTGAAATCAAAATTTGGCAAAGTATGGTTAGCAAATATAATAAAGAACCAATGTGATAACACAGCACTTTACAGTAAGTCTTGACCCTTTGAAGACAAACTAATTTCTCCAAAAGTACCAAAACTGCTTTCTTGATCCGTATTCTCTCTCTAACTGACAAGTCACAAATAATATTACAAGAACTTATAAGAATCTCTGCTCCCTGTAATAGTAGTAGAGGAATTCTTTATAAACAAGGTGATGTAGGACAGTGGTTATCAACTGGTGGGTCACAAGATCCATAGTTATGACTGCCCTAAACTAGTGAGTCATCAACTAAATATGTGGTCCTTTACTGCTGTGCCAAATAACTAACTGGGCCTTGAAGTGCAAAAGGTTGAGAAACCTTGATGTAGGACACATTATGACCATCTCATGAAACAGTAGCTAGCTTCTGAGATTAGACAATGCCACAGAAAGTTACACCTTCAACTGAATTTAGTAGATGATCATGATTGGAGTTAGTATATTCCAAACTAGAACTTAGAAAAAAAGTTTCAAATTTTGTAGATGCAAATTATAGACTGTGAAGGAGGGAGATATGTAGTACTTGCATACTTTATTTCCAACATTTTGTGAATTGAAATTGAACTGAAATATTTGTTTTTATAACTTGTATGAAATAAATTGTAATCTAAATGAAATTAATTTTGCAACATTTTGTTTTGAATTTAGTAAGTTCAAAAACATTTATTTATAACACAGGTGTTTCCAGTAGAACTGGAGAAAATTGATCCATTTAAGGGTTTTAAGGATTTTTTAAATACCTTTCCTTTAAAACGTGGAAAGTCTAAAGATCTGGAAGAATCTGAAATAGTAGGAGAGTTTAAGGTAAGCATATGGTTTCTTTATGTTGTAAATATTACAAAGATAAGACTCAAAAAGGAAAATTAAGCCCCCATGTTCTGTTAGCATTCTAAAGTGCCGTAAAAGTGTATTTTGACTTTATCTTTAATTAAAAAACAGTCAGAAAATTGTAAATATATATTAAAAAATGAAGTATTTCTAAATTTATTAACTTTTGGTATTTAATTACCTCCATCTAATGAGCACTAATAGGAACTAAGACTTAGTGTTATTGGAAGGATGGAAAACATATTATTTATCATTGTACTGTTTTAAGATTATCAAAATAAGTCATGAGGAAACTCCTGTTCTTTCCATATTTAATATATCAAACATAATTTGCATTAATACATAATCTGCATTTATGTAGCATTTGTATTTGAAAATCTGTATCATGTTTCCTCTAAAGAAATGCATGATGTATGATTTCTGTCATTAACATTTTAGGGAACTATAAGGGTTTATCCCCTTCCACATGACCCCAAAGCCACTCATCCAAAATGCATGTTGAAAGGGATACCAAAATCCACAGTAGAAGAAATAACTGTGAGAGTGTATGTCATAAGAGCACTGGATGTCACACCTATGGACCCAAATGGATTGGTTAGTATGTAGTAACATATAATCAATACATTCTGTCATGTAACATGAACCAAAACAGAAGAAATGGATTTATTAGTGTATAGTAATGTTACGTCTCCGTTTGTTAATTGATTTTCCGTAAATTCGTTCTGACGAAACTTTAGCGACACAAGTCCTTACTTAATAAAACTGGTTTGTTCTTTCCGAATATAACTTTACCGATACACTTATTTTCAACAGTCGCTCTATAACAACGCTATAACAACGAACGTTAACATCAACAATACTGTATCGTATCCGTTTGTTAATTAACTTTCCGTAACTTCGTTCCGACAAAACTTTAGCGACACAAGTTCT